TTCTCTGCAACTGCTGGCTGGAATTTATTGAAACTTCATGGGAATCATCAATATCAAGAGGAGATGCGCATATCGCCGGCTTGTTCCAGTCGGACCTTTTAACTCAGAGTTATGGCCCTTGATTAGTTATGCAGTATACATATAGAGCATAAATCGTTTCCGCTCTACTTCTCTGCAACTATTGGCTGGAATTCAACAACAATTTATGGGAACCCTCAATACCAAGAGGAGATGCGCATATCGCTGCCTTGTTCCGGTCAGACACTTTAACTTTGAGTTATGGCCCTTGACTAGCTATGCAGTTTGCATGAAGAACAATAATCGTTTCCGCACAACTTCTACTACTGGCTGGAATTCAACGAAACTTTATGGGAACCTTCAATACCAAGAGGAGAGGCGCATATCGTTTTCTTGTTCTGGTCAGACACTTTAACTCAGAGTTATGGTCCTTGATTAGTTATGCAGTATGCATATAGACCAATAATCATTTCCGTGCTTCTTCTCTGCAACTACTGGCAGGAATTCAAGGAAACTTCATGGGAACCTTCAATACCAAGAGGAAATGTGCATATCGTCGCCATGTTTCGGTCAGACACTTCAACTCAGAGTTATGACCCTTGATTAATTATGCAGTATGCGCATAGAGCAATAATCGTTTCCGCGTTTCTTCTCTGCAACTACTGGGTGGAATTCAACGAAACTTTATGGGAATCGTCAATATTAAGAGGAGATGCGCATATCGTCGGCTTGTTCTGGTAAGACCCTTTAACTCAGAGTAATGGCCCTTGATTAGTTATGCAGTATGCATATAAAGCAATTATCATTTCTGCGCTTCTTCTCTGCAACTACTGGCTGGTATTCAACGAAACGTTATGGGAACCTTCAAGACCAAGAGGAAATATGCATACTATCGCCTTGTTCCCGTCAGGCACGTTAACTCAGAGTTATGGCATTTGATTAGTTATTCAGTATGCATTTAGGGTAAACTTTATGGCACCTTAAATACCAAGAGGTGATGCGCATATTATCGCCTTGTTCCGGTCAGACACTAACTCAGAGTTATGGCCCTTGATTAGTTATTCCGTGTGCATATAGAGCAATAATTGTTTCCACGCTACTTATCTGCAACTACTGGCTGGAATTCAGAGCCATTAATATGAGATGTGCATAATTTGTTGGTCAGCCTTGTTCAGACCAGACGCTTCATTACAGAGTTATGACCCTTGATTAGTTATGCAGTATGCATATAGAGCAATATTGCTATTTCTTTGCAAGTGCTGTATTGATTTCAACAAAACTTTATGGGAACCATAGATACAAAAAGGCAATTTACATCTCATTGCCATGTCCAGATATCACTATTTAACACCGAGTTGATTAAGGCTCTGTTATTGCCCTGAATATTTATTATGTAAAAATAATATTACTGTTTACGCCATAATAAGTATAGAAATAAAGCCTTGTTCCCAGTTGTTGTGTTAGTAATAACCAGTACTTGGCGGGGGTATAAATTCAACGAATTTGCTTGTTTTTATATACTATAATTTATCTTACAAGGCACCGAGATGCAGCGACTGCGTTAAGACTTTTTACTATAACAGTTTGGATTGATACATACGGAATTTTGCATGACTAGAATTGCATCAAAAATCATTTATATTCATTTTTTATGACAGCCACACATCATCCTTGCATATCGTGGCTACTTAAAAAAGACACTTAGAAAAAAAAGTTACCTCGACTGGGATTTGGAACCCCAGACCTATCTCATGAAAATTGATATCACTTTGTTAGGATAATAAATCTTGTTATATTTTACTGACAACAAAATGACTAGTCGTCTGCTCGCCAAAACGATATATTTTTCGAATGACGAGGGTAAACGAACCTTAGCACACATAAGACTAATCCTAAAACAATATCGGTAAATGCCCAGTAAGGAGTTCCATGTGTGAAAACTACACATTCCTGTAATGAGCTTTGACATTACACAGGCAATACCGAACCTATATTCTTGTGTGAATGTTTCATGCGATATATCTTTTTAAAATGTTCCATATCATTATGGAAACAACAATATATATTGTGTGAAAAATATTTCATAGGATACAGTTTTAAAACCCTTAAACTTACAAACGAGTTTATCCAATCAGGCTAACTGAATTGTGCTTTAATTTATAGGATAAACTATCGTGCATAATCGTGATAAGGACTTGTATCATAGTTTGGATACCCATTACTAGTTTCCTGCACTCAAGTTACAACTCTGTCTTTCGGGGTTAAATTAGAGCATATTCGCTGATTGTCTACATTTTGTATCTGTCGTTTACCTATAATGACGTCAGGGAAAAAGATAATGATAGGAAAATCCTTTTCAGATGCTTGTATATTGGTTCATTTATTATGGGGTTTCATTTGCGACGACAAGAAAAGTGTTTGTTTTTTATTTTTGCCTATGATACAAAAGAGAAAGATTAGCAAAACATTCGGCAACCTGATAGCCTCGTATTTCTATTACTTAAGATATAACTAAAGGCTTTCGGTATTATTAATTCCATAAACACGTGACAGTATTCGTCTATGCTAAGATAATTTTATTCAGGCCGGGGTTTAAAATCAAGCAGTATTTAAGAAATAAAATTCGAAGACGCCGACAGGATAATCCGTGTATTGTTTGTTTTTTTAAATGTTTTTTTTATAATACTTAATCCTAATCTTGATTAAGATTTCAAATTTTAATTATACAGTGATTTTTTTCCAACTGCAGTCCGTCATAGGCTTTTTGCCATTGCTCTACAAAATCATTAAATTTTAAATTTGAATTAATTTAAATTAGATTTCCTACACTTAAAACGGAAAGATATGAAATCGATAATAACATATTGAAATTGAAAATCGTATTTTTGTGGGATTCATAACACGGTTTGTTTTAAGAGATATTTATTCTGGAAAATGATTTGAAATATTGCACACATTTGTTCCAGACCTATATCAGATGGTACATGCATCTCGAAAACAATTATGTCCAGTCCTTTTATCATACTCAAATTATCTCTGTCAAGTACCTTTAAGTTAGAAATGCAAAACATTATATTCTGTTAAGAATTTAAAGACTAAACGCAAAAAAGTTTTCATATTTTGTTTCTCGAGACTTTCTTGAAATGAACAAACCCTTTGTTATCTCATAAGACTTAACATGCTTATCTAAACACTTGAGCAGTTAGTTAGAGTGATCATTTATTAAGCGGTGTTTTTAATATCAAAGCTCATTTGTGTACAAGGACATACCGCTGTATGACACATAGAATTTTGTAGATTATGTGAAATAATTATACTATATACTATATCATACCTAAAATAGAGAAAATAAGAATTTCTAAATAAGTCCAAAACGTCAAAATTGAAAAGCTGCAGACTCGGTTTGATTGAACCGGTTCATGGACGGTACTATACAGTGCAAACTACCGTCCACGCCTCCATGCACCGGCTTTAGCAGAATTCAACAATTAAACATGAAAATGGCAAATTTTTGAATTTAGAAACATCCGCAGATGTGTTCTTTCGGCGGTTACCATGTCACCTTTAATGTGACACTTTCGTGTCATTCCATAAAAAGCGGCGTGTGGTCCCCAAGTACCTAGAATCTAGTAACGAGAAAACAATGGGCGGAATTAAATAATATGGAAATTTTGAAAGGGGATCAGAGGTTATGAAGCATGCATATCACTGATTACTAGTAAACGTCAAAAGACAAATTTAAAAAGCAGGCCACATATCCTAGGGGTGTTTTAACATTATTCAAGAAGGAATAATGAAACCATTCAACACTAGAAAAATGCCGGAAAGTAAAAACTTAAAGTACCACAAACACAACAATAATGTTGTGCCGAACGATCTTTAAAGATCGGAAATATAATATCTCTGATTGTATGTACGGGGCTTCTTTTTTCAGCTTCCACACTGCACAAACAACGCCGATGTGGCGATAAAATAAAGAAAAAAATCCTTAAAGAAAGTCCAAACCGGCAAAATTGAAAATGTTGCAGGCTTGGTAAAATTAAATGCTCTTTACCAACAAACAAACATAAGATTTTTAGATTTTTTTTATCTTTTTATTCAAATATTTATTCGTATCAAATGATTTTTGCCGGTAATACTTATCAAACTAAATGTTCTGAAAAACGATGTCTTCCTTTAGTTCGTGTAAAAGTTACGACTGACGGATGTATTATGGTTTTTATTGTATTAGCGTCTTTTTAATGGTTTTTTGATATGAATACCATCGCTTAAAGTCCAAATTTTACTTCAATATTTACAAACGGCTTAGAAATATAGAAGGGTGAAGGTGACAAAGCTGCTATTTCTGGCAGGAAGTCATTTATAAATTATCTAGTCTCATAAACATATATTAACCTATGGTGAAATGTTTTCTTTTGATGACACTTTGATACCTCCGAAAGAGCAAGTAACTCGAAAAGCAGCATTACTCTGCGATGAATGTATAACATTATGTCTGGACTTATCTCCCTTGCAATTATTTTGTTGAATGAAAGTAATACGCTATGTAATAAATTATCCTTTTCCCTGTCGTCATAATAAGTTAATCCAAGAAGAAATATAAACAATATACAAACATATTCCACTGTTTTCCCGACAAACAGTGCGGTAACAGGAGTGCAGGTAACTAATACATGCACTCAAGTGAAATCACTGTGCATTTATGGGTATACCATTTAACTCTGATACAATTTTTATTGAAAGGTCGCCAAACTATGATACAAATACTTTTATGATAATTATTGCATCTTTGGACAAAATACCTTAATCTTAACATTGTTCTTTCATAAAAATCCTGGCAATTCCTTTAATTCAGTCATTAAAACTATTTTTTTTTTAATTCAAATATCACGTTTATTTGGTTGAAGTTCCATGAAGTAGAAATAAGATGCAAACAAAATGTTATGAAATGATAATTTGGGACCGTGTCATTCTTTCAGAGTTGAAAATCCAAACAGATGATGCGTATCTCTTACGCTTTTTAAGAGCCTCCTGCTTTGACCACGAGGATGCATTTACTCTTATTCATAAATATTTCGAGATGAAAGCAGACGAGAGGAACAAACAATTGTTCAGCAACATGCGGCCGAGTTCCATTAAGCATGTGCTTGAAGCAGGTGTAACAGGAGAATATTTTCATCGTGATAAACTTGGCAGAAGAGTATTAGTTTTAAGACCAGGTCAGATAAATTTACTAAAATGAATACTTTTCATTACATTTAGTTTTTGTTGTCTTTGATTGTACGAGGGACGGTCAGAAAATATCCGGACTTTTCATGCTCCTCTCTTTCCACGTGCAGCTATATGCACACATTATATATTGGTGAAAACTACATGCAATCGCCAATAACGTGGTCAGTTCATTTTCAATGATTGTGTATACACAGTATTTTGCCCTCTGATATATGATAGGTGTTTCGTCTATCATGGACTCTTTGTTAAAGGAACAACGCTCTGCAATAAAGTTTCTGGTTGCAGAAGGTGAAAAGCCCTGCCACATTTTTAGAGGCTTAAAAAAGATTTTCTGATAAATGTGCATCACGTTCAACCTTCTACAACTGGGTTTTTTTTTCGTGAAGGCAGAACAAGTGTTTGTGACAAGCTTGGACTGGGCGGCCATCTGAGGCGGTGACCCCAACAATGGTAGCAAATGTTAAAGCTTTTCTCAACAAAAATCGTCGAGTAACTTTGGAGGAGGTAGCCAACAAGTATAGCATCGGTAAGGCATCGGCACACAAGATTTTACACGAACACCTAGGCATGAGCAAGGTAAGTGCCAGGTGGGTGTCTAGACAGCTGTCTGCAGATCAAAAGTCAACCAGAGTAACCAATGCAAAAGAACATTTCAGTCGTTTTAATCGTAAAGGAGATAAGTTTTTGAACTGCATTATCACTGGAGAGGAGATGTGATTTCATTATTCCGAACCTGAGACAAAAGCTCAGTCAAAGCAGTGGAAACGAGCTGGTTCCCCACCTCTTCAAAAGTTTAAGCTGTCTTCTTCGGCTGGCAAAGTCATGCTTGTTGCCTTTTAGGATTCACGAGGAATGATACTTACTCATTTCATGCCAAAAGGACAAACTGTCACCGCCAAGTACTATTCTGAAGTAATTCTGAAAAATCTCAGAGAAAAGCTGAAGCAAATGCGTTCCAGGTTAGCACAGAAAAAATGTCCTCCTTCTTCACGATAACGCCCCCTCCTATACCGCCGCAGCTACAGTGGAGGTTATCAACTCTTACAATGGCAATTGTTGTCTCACCCTCTATATAGCCCAGACCTCGCCCCCTGTGACTTTTATTTGTTTCCAGACCTGAAAAAATTGCTTGCTGGAAAAAAATATAAGACCAGGGCGGCTTTGATATCTACTGTTACACAGTACCTAAAACATAGGTCTACGTCATGGTCCACAGCGGGAATACAAAAGCTCCCGCGAAGATGGCAAAAGTGCGTAGACGTAGGTGGAGAATATTTTGAAAAAGAGTAGAAAGATTTTTTTTAAAATGTTGAATGGTTTTCGAGCCAAAACGAGTCAAAAGTCCGGATATTTTCTGACTTCCCCTCGTATTTCGACGCGTTCTTTCTGTCATCGCCTAGAAAGTTAAGCAGTAGATCTTATGGATGAAAAGTTATGTATCGAATATCTTGTCGTAATGAGTGTCCTACGGTATATGACTGTTATAAGTGAATATAACTTCACTCCACTCAGACAAGGACATTTTCAGATTCAATTGTATATTCAATGAATAAGAAATGTGCATTCTATACGAATATTGTTGTTTGTTAAAAGATGTCATTTGTTATTTAACTTATTTGAACATGTACATGAAACTATCATTGACATTAACCTTATTAACATATATGTATAAGTATGAAGTTATGTCAGGTTCCTTAGAAACACGCGTTGAAGACCCCAAATGCCTCATATTTGCGCTTTATAGTGTATATAAACGAGTATTCCAGTAGAAACACCATTCTTGTTTGTAGCTACCGAGTAAGTGTTTTTTCTATATAAATGATTATATGATAAATATGTATATCTCATGATAAGCGGTTTATTTTAATTGCTTTGATCGATATTATCTATTTCAGGGAAATGGGATACCAGTAAATTTTCTATTACAGACATTTTCAAAACTAACTTCATGACACTCTTCAAGTTTGTTGAGGTTAGAATAATACACTAAAAGAATTACTAAGATAAGAAACGTTATAATGTAACCATTGAAAGAATCAGATAAAAAAAACTATTATATACCTATAGAAATAACCAGATAAGAAACATTTTAATACATCTACTGTATAGAGTCTTGTTCATCTAATAGAATATATCATTGGGTTAGATAGAGGATAGGGAAGTCCCAACCCGAGGGTGATCGGTTCTATTGGGAACGAGCCTTGGCGAGCTCCCGATGGAACCGATTGCCCGAGGGTTGGGATTTCCTATCCTCTATCTAACCTAATGATTGATTATTTTGCTCACTCACCTGGACACAATAAATATCAGTGAAACTAGCTCTACTTGCTATGCCCTAGTTTTGAAAACCGGGACGGGGCTTAGGCGCCTGACGCACGTCCGCAAAAAAATCTACTGACCAAGTTTATGTGTGAAAAAATTCAATGAAAATAAATTCATATGAGATCCCTCATAAAAAAGCAAGGTTATCATGATAAAACACATCAATATTAAAGTCGGAAAGTGTCATAATATAAGTGTTTATAAGGAATTCAGTCCATACTTAAATGGTTGCCAAAAAGCGTTTACCGTTTGCAAAGATTTTTCTACTTATTCGGTTATTTTGGCCGAATATTCAATTAAAATATATCAAAATGAGATTCGTCATCAAGAAGCATCGTTATCATAACAGAAAACATGGATGTTCTTCAGGAAAAGTGTCATAATATCCGATTTTACGAAGAATTTTGCGATATTTTAAAGTGTGCTATTTTTAGTAACAGATCGATATTGAAAAGGGCGGACCTAGGTAGAGTAGGACTCATTGCAGTGTGAAAGTTAATATCAATCTATTTTGATTCCGTGGACAATTAAATAGATTAGCTCACATATTTTTAATACATTTTGAACTTTTGACGTTTCATTTTTGTTAAAATAGAAGTGAATCGCGTATGTGTAGGAAGACGTTTTTAGAAGTGCGGCACGTTGAGTGTGAGATAAGCCCATATGAGATTAGTCCAACTAATTGTACTGCGCGACGAGATATTGTGCTATTTTCGTGTCTGGGCAATATCTCGCCTCTACGTACAACCTAAAAAGTACCTTTTCTGTGGTGAAATTTGCGCCGGGATTTTGAGCGCAAGCTTTGGACCGTGTAAAATCGTATTAGAATTCATATTTGAATAAATTTTTTACGATACCTTTAAAGATTATTCATTTCTACATCAATTTCATGTTTTATTTGTGAAAATATTCCTAACATAAAGATTTTGATAGAAAAGTAAACACATGCACCATCAAAATAAAGACATCGCCGCTAATGTCACGTGACAAATACACTGTTGATAACTACACTGGTGTGTATGCGGTACTGCGTTACTGAGAAACGACGAAACACTCTTAGTAAAATATCAAGTTTAAAGTTATATTTAAGACATTTTTTTATGCAAAAATTAATAATTATGATAGGATGAAAATATTATTTTATTGGAGCAGATGCACAACTTATTCGTTATTGTCAGAGCGTTCTTAGAAATATGAGAATCATCATAGCTACTCAAACGGACTTCTCACTAAACCGTTTCTTGTTTTTTTTAAAAATATTTTGTTCAGCTTTCCAAGTAAATATAGGACATGGAACGTATTGGTATCTACAGATTTTTTTTCCACGATTATGATGAAAATAGGGATATGTTAAGAGCAGAAACATGAGGTTTATGATTATGTTTAAAGAGCAATGTACGTTTCCCTAGTGCCTTGGTGACTACGAAAAGATACCATTCTAAGGAATTTGACAGTCTGTTATTTATAATCAGGTTGATTAACTATTAAATGCAGGTTGATTAACTAGAGGAAAACTACTTAACGATACTTTCAATGTTCAAAATAATTTTTATCAATAATAAAACGAATAAATGTCAAACGCGGTTTGTTTATGCGGAAAAAAAAACACATTGGAATGTAAACTTCTTCTTTTTTTTCTTTTTTTTTTAATTTCTATCCACGCAAGTCCATAATTCTGGATAGTTTACTCCAAAAAGCTTTCTGAAGATGTTTTTAGAAAGAAAAACACACACATGTAAGTATGAAAATTGTTTTAAAATGACCGTGGTAGCAGAGAAAAAATACTCGGAAATTAATTTCATGAAACAGGTGCCTGCTTCATATTTTTGTTGTTGCTTTTTGGTTTGCAAAAGACTTTCATAATGTTGGTATACAGTAAAGATTTATTTAATACATTTCACTTTTCTGCCGTCTTAGAAATTATTTTCTTTTATAAAATACATGCATGGCGAAGTGCGATTTGAACAATCAACGCGGTTATTTAACAAAACGCTGCGCCGCTAATTTCTTTCACAGGCACTTGGTGTGTGGAGCTCAAAATGCCTTTAAAATCCAAAAAAAAATGTATATTTGTCAATCCCAGCACATGTACTGATCATATTTATAAAAAAAACTTAATATAAGCCGTTTTGATTTTTTTTATATTTCAACGTCTATAATAATACATAAGATAAAAATGTCTGCCGGAAAAAATCTGCACACCTACCGTCAAAAACACCATGTATTTTATTCTGTTTCCAATATTTTCACATAATCCTTTGTCCCATCGACACAGAAGATATAATTATTCACGATGATGGTCAATTTTAAACTTCAACGTCAATATAACAGGCAAAATAAACACCGAGATTATCGCCATTTTACTCCATTTACAAAATCTTTCGACAAATTCAAACGTGGCTCCCCAGCTTAAAGGCGTTTTGACCCCAAGTGTCTGTGATTTCTTTGATTCTTGTCCAATCTTATAAGATTTAAGGGTTATGCAACAAGTTTACTCATTTTAAACAATAATATGATACAGATTGTTACTGCCCTAAATATAAAAGGTGTTGCTTTGGAAATCGGTTAGAAATCACGGCGACTCTTCAGTTCTTTTTTTTTTTCAATATTTTTTTTTAGTTTTTGATATAGAACGAAAATTGAGATTTTAACCTTCTAGTAAATTTAGATAGAAAACCAGAAAATAGTTCCTAATAATTAAATGTCACACCTCAAAAGTTAAAAGTTGGCATATCTTGCGTAAATTCAGACCGTATTTGTAAGCCGGGAAACTGTACTGAGGAAACTCGGGACCGTAACACATTTAAATTCTTACCACCGTTTAAACAATTTTCATAAATGTATTATAGAAAGAAATTTAAGCATAAGATTATCGTCTTTAAAACAAATTATCAAGTATATTCATAATTATAAATTGAAAAATAAATGCATATTACTATCTAAAAATAACTTTTCTTTTCAATTTGAACCGTGTCAGCATGGAACATTGTTTAACTGATTCCGGAAAGGAATCACGGCTCCAATTTAAATACTTATCTATAAATCAAATTTATTTATGTAAAACTTAATCTTATAAATTTTAAATTGACACAAAGAAATTAAGTAAGGAAGAAACAGGACTGCGCATCAATTATAAATAGTGTCAACATTTCCGAAGTGTATATTGGCCAGCGTACATTGGTCGTATATTGGTCGGCGTTGTGGAATAGTTGACACATTTTAAAAATAAATATTCGATTGAATATATTTTCTTTACAGGGACAAAAACTTTTCTGGAACATCGCTTAAACAACACCCAATAGCCAAGCCAATACGGCATGCTATGATTACACGGATAAATGGTACATGTACACATGTTCTTTCGGATACAGACAAACGAAAAATAGGCGCTCGGAGTAACGAGTTTTACTTTTCTGAAAACTGTTGAGGAATGAAAAAATAACGCAATAATTTACCATTTGAATTCAAAATACTTTCATAGCGTAATGAACGTTTTGAAAACAAAACTTTACTAGGCAAGGAGTTGCTTTTTTTAATACGCAGCAAGTTGTGACTAACATAATTATACCACGGATTTTTATTACATAAATCCGTGATTATACTAACAGATGATACTACAAAGTGGTGACAATAGACATTTTAATGAAATACAGTATTTGTTTATCCTTTAATAAACATGTTTATTAAAAAGAGGACTAAATTAAAAGTTTCCCCGCATCATTTTAATGATTTCACTTCACTTCAGTGTTGTTATATTTTCTGGTCCTTCGGGATCATTGATGCCAGCACTATTAAGTGTTGAGAATTGAGTAACGCTCAAGCCGGTGCTAGGGGGCGTGAGGGATGTTGCACATTTCCATTATCCCTCATGTACAGACTCAATCAAACCGAGTCTGCAATTCTCTTGTAATTTTGTTGTGATTAATGCTTGCGAGGGATCACTTTATTTCCAGATTTTTTTTTCAATCAATTAGAAAAAAAATTAAAGATTATTTCCTGGCGATTTATTTTAATGTAGCAATAAATAAGATTAATAATAACAACATTAAAAAATAATAATTAACATTGTTTAATAGTTTTTCATATTTTTTAGCCACGCAAAAAAAAAATAGAAAACAACACGCACGGTACCGAACAATATCGATATTTAGCGTACACGTTACATTACTGTAGCAACATCACAATATGGCGGCGTTGGTACACAAATGAGACGGTGAAATGAAACTAACGTGGTTTACTTTCTTCTAGGTTGATAGTCTGGCACTTTTTGTGCTGTTAATTCCTTAAAATTGTATTGTTGAATAAATTCTTAGTTTAAATTGTCTGCATTTTCACATTGACATCGAAATTCACGTTTCACCACAGAAAGGTCTCCTTTTGGTTTTGACGTTAAAGCGAGATTCTGCCCAGAACGAAAATATCTCAGAATCAAGCTTTGGCACGTCAATATATTTTGACTAATGTGAGATAAGATTTTCCAACACCGCTATTTTAGTAACATTTACGGATTTTTCTATCTGGTTAGTAAAAAAAAATCACTTGATCTAGGAAAGACTGAATGCCTTATTTTTGGAGAGTTTAAAATTGTTTGCAATGGACATACTATTGAATCCACAAGTTCTGTCAAATATCTAGGTTTAAATATTGATGATTCTTTGTCAGGTGAATCTATTATTAATAGTATTCTTACAAAGGTGAATTCACGTTGTAAGTTTTTGTATAGGCAAGCAAATGTTTACGATTTTAGGACTAGAAAATATCTATGCTCAGTATTAATACAATGTCACCTTGATTATGCATGTTCTTCTCGGTACCCGAGTCTGAACAAGTGTTTTTAAAGTAAGCTTCAAATTTGTCAAAATAAAATTGTAAGGTTTATACACGGTATGGGACCTAGAGATTATGGAGGGCGATCGTTGCCAAAATTCCAGACATGTAATGTGTTCCTTTTGAAAACTACTTTTGAAAATGCGAACATGTATGTCTAGCATTTTTGATTGCATTCGTGCACAGCAAATGATATGCCTCTTAATCCAATCTTTTAATTGAAGGCACCCGCATTTAAATAACATGTTTACATGTAAATCTTAACAACTGACCTAACACACATTTACAAGTTCGTATCTACCATTGCATATAATACATAAGCATGTTTACACACTTGTAGATATTTATCTGTACCTGAAAAACACAAATGAAATGTAAAATTTGAATGCAGAAAATATAATTTAATAAAACGTGTTTCCAGTCGTAGAACTACAACAGTACATTTACACAGTTAAATGTTTAAAATGACAAAAGTAGATTCACAAAGTTAAACGATTTTAAGTCATGCATGACGCCCCGCCCCTCTCTGAGTATTTACGATCTTCTATCACGGAAATGTACGGACAGGTATAATACCCGTCGCCTCTCTCCTATTTCTCAATAAAGTGAAGGAAAACTCGGCGTCTCCATTCTAACTTTTTTTTATTTCTATAAAAAGTCCAATATTATTGGTATCAAATGAAAGATTACTCCATAAGCTTTCTATGAGTGCCTCGGAAATAATAATGAATTAAATAGATGTATTGAATATTTTGTTTTTTTTTACTCTGAAAATAACACTCTCGAATTGGCAAGAAAAACACGGCGTTCCCTCCAAACTTTTTTTTTATTTCGTAATATATTTTGATAATTTTGGATTGAAATAAAAGTGTGCTTAATACGATTTATGATATATAATTATATAATGCCTCAAAATAAAAAATGAATTAAATCAAAATGAATTAACTTTTCGTTAAAAAGTTTATCATGTTACTTTCTGTAAAATAGAGAAAATAAGAATCCCTAAAGAACGCTCAAAACGACAAAATTGAGAATGTTGCAGGCCCGGTTGATTGAGCCTGCTCACGGACGGTAATGGAAAGAGCAAGTTATCGTCCACGCCCCCTAGCACCGGCTTAAGCAAAATTCAACATGAACTGGTACAATTTGAATTTTAAAACATCCGCAGATGTGTTAATATGGCGATTTTCATGGAACCTTCAATTTGACACTTAAGTGCCATACCATGAAAAACGGCATATGATCCCCAAGTAAAAAAAAACAAAACTCACTCTGAAATTCAGTAAGAGAAACATGGCGCCCCCTACTTACTTTTTTATTTCTTGGTCAATTTTGATAACTTTAGAATATGATAAACAAGATCATCAAGGAAAGGCGGCGTTGATAATTTTAGACTCAAGTAAAAAATTCTGGAAACAAAGTGATCCCTCGGAAGCATTAATCACAACAAAATTACATAAGCATTGCAGACTCGGTTTGATTGAGTCTGTACATGAGAGATAATGAATAAGTGCAACATCCCTCACGGCCCCTAGCACCGGATTGAGCGGTACTCAATTCTCAACACTTAATAGTGCTTAAGAATCCTTAATGAACTTCCTAGTGATAACTTAAAAATGAAAATTAATTACGTAGAAGTATAAAAAAAATTGTTTCTAACTTATCGTTGTTTATTTTTTTTTCTCTTAAATCCACACTCATATATTCGGAAAAAAATAACGTCGCTTCCTTTAGATACTTTATTCAAAAAGGAAAATGAATATTGAATGAAGTTAAGACCATAAGTTTTGAACAAGTATATTAAAAATCTGGAAACAAAGTGATCCCTCGGAAGCATTAATCACAACAAAATTACATAAGAATTGCAGCTTTGGTTTGATTGAGTCTGCACATGAGGGATAATGAACAAGTGCAACATGCCTCACGCCCCTTAGCACCGGCTTGAACGGTACTCAATTCTCAACACTTAATAGCGCTGGCATCAATGGTCCCGAAAGACCAGAACAATATAACAACACTGAAGTGAAGTACGGGGCAACTTTTTACAGCTGCCACACGGCACTTGACACCTGCTGTTGTGAAGTATAAAATTCTGGAAACAAAGTGATCCATCGGAAGCATTAATCACTACAAAAATACATAAGAATTGCAGACTCGGTTTGATTGAGTCTGTACATGAGGGATAATGAACAAGTGCAAAAAGTTTTTATTCATACTGAAAATACCTTATTAAAGATTGTACATATGTGCTACGGATAAATATTTTCTTGATTTCGGAAAGGAAATCTCGGTGGCCGCTTTAAAATATACTTGCATAGTTTTTGTTGAAAATGAAATTTGTGCCAATACATTTTTCAATGATACCAATAAGAATATTGGATAGTTTTTTACATTATCAATAAAATTACTCCCTTGAAGTTGGTCATTGTTTCCCCTAAAAATTTCCAAATCGCCGATGTTTCTCAGGAATATATGATAAACAAGATCAACAAGGAAAGGCGGCGCTCAATGAACCTAACCCCACATGACCCAGCAACAAGAACAAGTGGCAAGAAGCCCAGGCGGACCCAAAACAAAACACAGGACAGGGCACTAGGCAGAGCACGGACAGGCTAATCACTAAAATTATAAATAATTTGTAACTGATAAAAACACGATGTTTAGTAATAAGGTAATGCATAAGTTATCTTCATCATAAATGGTAAAATCAGCAATTTTCAAGTGATGTTGCTAGTGACAAAACTTTTGTAACAAATGTTACATATATATGTTATGAAAAAAAATGCCGTATGTTGTCCTTCAGTTTATTTAAAAATATGAGAGAGGCGCCGTTTTATACCTGTCCGCAATAGAAGATCGTAAATACTCCGAGAGGGTCGGGGCGTTATGCTTGACTTAAAATCGTTTAACTTTGTGAATCTACTTTTGTCATTTGAAACATGTTACTGTGTTAACGTACTCCTGTAGTTCTACAACTGGTAACACGTTTTCTTACGCTCTATTTTCCGTATTCGAGTTTTACGTTTCATTTGTATATTTCAGATCTATAAGTTTGCAAACATGCATATATATTGCATGCAATGGAAGATACGAACTTGTAAATTTGTTGTCGTTTTAGACGTTAGGTCAGTTGTTACGATATATATGTAAACTTGTTATATGAAGGCGGTAACCTTCAATTAAAAGATTGAATTAAGAGGTATACAATAAAAATGGTAGGCATACAAGTTCGCATTTTCAAAAGTCATTTTAAAAAGGAACACTTTACATGTCTGGAATTTTGGCAACGAACGCCCTCCATAAGAGATAGTGTCAATAATGTTATTCTTGCTGATATTTCTTTATTAAATTTAGAAAACAGAATGAGCAATTACGTCTTAATCATGTTTTTAAAATTGTTAATAACCAGTGCCCTTCATATATGAAAGAAAATTTTGTACCTGTTCGAGACATTCATTCTTATGCAACTCGGGCGAATCAGTACAATAGTAGGGTCCCAAAAAGTTATGGGAAAGAAAATGTAACTTTTTTTTTAAAAAGCAATTAATGATTGGAATTCCTTGCCTACATGCATTAAAACAATACATAAGATAGGAGATTACAAAAGCTCACTGAAGGCCCATTTACTATAACAGTTAGGAAATCATAATTAAATTCACTAGTATAACTAGATATTGATCTTCATTTTTATTGTTTTCCTTTTAGCAAAGTTAAAGGAAACATTAAAGTTTAATATTTTATTTATATGACATCTTCCAGTTTCCAAAGTTTTTGTTTTTTCAAGTTTCTTGTTTTTATATTGTATATTCTAGTAACTATATATCCAAGGACCCCATTGGAAATAAGCCTGCGGCTTTTCATGGGCAATCCGAGGTTACTGCACACTACTCTATACATGCTTCCACTTACGTCGCCACATTATATTTAACTGGTAAATTGATATCTAGTAAAAGGAAAGAAAGAGTTTTAGATTTTGTTCTTTATTATTATATTTTATTATTTCATGAGCCTCCTGTGATATTTATGTTTGACAAACTTCCGAAATATTTTTTTTACAATTGTGTCATCAGTTTTATATAAAATGCTTGAGTGTTTCTATTATGTATATGTGTGTTTTAACCTGAATAAATATCTATCATCTATCTATAGAAAGAATCACATGTTATAAAGAAATGTTTAATACATTTACATAAAGAACCAGGAAAGAAAAGTTTTAATACATCATTAGAAGAAGCCAGATAATATTTTTTTAAAAGTTATGAAAAGCATTTAGTATGTTGCATAAACAGAAATGCAGGCGATCTGCTTTATTTCGAAAAAGGTAATTTTTAAAATATATTAAATGTTCACATAAAATGTTATTGTTTGTGTGCTTGTTTGTGTCTGTTTGATTTCCATATACTAACATTTTGATTTTATCCTTCATAATATTTATTATGAGAATTATTTATACCTATAGGAAGAAGAGACGCAGATAAAAGGTGTTGTCACGCTTTTTGACATGAATGGTGTAGGATTTGGTCAGATGACTCATCTGTCTCCATTCTTTGCAAAACGTATCACGGCTTTATTACAAGTATGTATAAAATATTTCACATGTCATAAACCAACATTAACAAAGAATCTTATTTTTTACACTATTTCTCTTACATTAAAAGTCAGAAAACATTATATGAGTTAAAAGCTAGGATATGTGACATAATCTTTACAATGCAACTACTTTGTTTGTTTTGGGTTTACAGTACATTTACAAATTACTGGCCATACCGCCCTTACAAGTTTACAATGCAACACTCGAGCACAAAGTATTACTATTGATGACTTTCTTATTATTAGCATTATTTTGATAACCAAATAGGTTCAATCACGACACTGACATCAAAATAAGTATTTTTAATCATTTAAAGAGATATTTCTTGATAACCTATCACCAGAACTGTATTGGAATAACTAAGAACGCAAACTTTTAATCAGACGATGAAAAGTTGTTGTTGTTTTTTTTCTTTTGACACACATCAGATATTATCTGTATATTAGAATATGTACAGTCAATATTTTTTTGACTATTTTCAGGAGAGTTTTCCAATGAGATTGAAAGCTATGCACTTCGTTAACGAGCCTGCAGTTTTTGATTATTTATTTGCTATTCTCAAACAGTTTATGAGCAAAGAAACGATTGATAAGGTTAGTGATGTAGTTTATCTTTTGAATTTAGATGACATTCTTAAAAACTACCCTTGAATAAATCAGCAGATTTTTTAACATTTAACAGTATTGTATCTTAAAACACATATAAATAATTTTATAAATAAATAAATAAAACGTGTTTGAGAAAAAATATATTCTATTGTTGTTTTTTTTTCAAGTAGTAAAAAAAAACTGATAAGGATATCATTATAATATTATTTTATATTTATTAGAGATACATTTTTTTAATTTTAGATAAAGGTACATGGACACAACCTGGAAGAATTAGCTGAATATTTTGATGTAGAACTTTTACCAGAGGAATACGGAGGGAAAGGCCAAAAGTACTCCAATGAGGTATTTACCACAGTGACTGTAAATTTAATAATAGTATTGTACCAATAAAAATACTACGTATGATGATACATATTTCGTATAGTGTTTAAAATGCTACTTTTGGTGTTGATTTGGTGTTTCATTCATTATTTGACAACTTTGATGAATTAATAGCCTCATAGTTAAAATTGTTTTTGATATTAAGTTTTGTAATTATGAATCTTTCTTTTATTTTATGTACGATTGTCTTTTAATCTCTTTTATATTAAATCATGTGTTGATATTTAGCTCTTGATATAACGAAATTACTGATCAATTTCTTTACAGCGATGGATGAAGACTCTTTTGGCTTGTGACGCGGAGTTTGATGCTGAAGCACAAAATAGCCTTGTTAAGGTTCCTGCAAAAGATGCTACCGGAACATACAGGAAAATAGATTCTTAGATTGTCACTTAGCATATGAACTATACCTTAAAATTCAATTAACTATTATAAAGAACATTTCTTCAAAGAATATTTGATTTACGTTATTCATAGTGCGTATTTTTGTCATTGGTATTGGTATTGTGTATCTTCGTTGAATATCATGTAGTTAAGCAAGTAGTTTCTACTTAATAGGCTCTGTGAAAAATGGGGTTTTCAAGCTTATCCGGGGTGAGAAACAAACTTTAACAATTTCGAAAATCGAATAATTTTAATGAAGTTGACTTATTAATTGTGAACGGTCGTGCACTTTGAAGCTATGGATACAAAAGACCGGTGGGGACATTTCAACTTCATGAACTTATGATTCCAACTTCATGAATTTAAAATTCCAACCTCTTGAAGTCACGATTTCAACTTCACAAATTTACTTTTTGAACATATTATATTCAAAAGTAATTTGTGTTTCTTCTATTAGGCAGACGATTTATTTAAGAAAACTTTAGCTTAAATATTGAAGTTATTTTATTCTTACAAAAGATTCATATTTTCCTAAGCGAATTATGTTAAAAGGGAGTTAAGGTAATTTTACATTTTAACAATTTCCATTTCTAAAATGTAATTATTCAAAGTTGTGGAGGACGTTAATCTAGAACACTTTTTTCCTTCTTTGTCTTTATAAAGAAGCCATCTTGGATTTTGATTTTGGGAGCAGTCAATATTCAAGAGGATATGGTTGTCAGGAGAGGTCATTTTTTTTATCATAAATCATATTTTAATTTACAATTACTTTACTGGATCAATCCTATAGCTTTTTATTAATCTCGTACCACTGTAGTATATGATATGTAAAACAATGACGTTATAGTAGTAATAAAAGACAACAAACTAATAAATTATTCATATTTTATTATCAAAACATTGACATTTTGATAACAGTAATGATACAATAACTCTTCAATAGCCATATGGAAAAGACACATAACCATCTCTTACTCTCATATCACAAATTTACTTTAAATAGACAAAGAAGGAAAAAAGTGGTCTAGATTGACGTCCTCCGCTACTATTCAAGCGCCAGCCCCGACTTCGATTATAGAGATCCTTTTTGTAAATACAAGCATGATCGTATATTGAAAATCGAGATATTTTTGTCGTGTTCTCAGATTTTACAGATGTTCAAAGATGATTGTTAAGGGCTTACCTAGATAAATTTAGTTAATTTAAAACATGAAAATTAGTATGTTATTGTTTTTGTTTAGTTTACTTAAAATACCATAACGTTTTTTAATTTAGTCAGATAAAAGCATAAACTATGTAGACTTAAAATTTGTACCTGGTAAACAAGTCTTGCATAGTCCTATTTATGTATAAGTGCTTAATAAGCATTTGTTTGTAATCATAATTTTTCTGCATGTGTCTGATTGTAAAGCATTAAAGAAGACGTCTATGATCTTGCATTTATCTGTGCCTACATAAATATCATAATTTATTACATAGTGAAGCGGCCTAGGTTAATAGAGCACAATATTTATAAACAGACAAAACAATTATAAAAGAGCAATTCACACGGAATGCAACAATATAAAGGTAAATGATTGTTTAAGCATGGGTTTAGCTTGGAAAAAACATTTGCCGAGATTAGGATAACATCTATTGATATGTTATGTTTAAAACAAAATAAATAACCTGTTGATGTGTTGTACTTCTCTATGTATCTATTATTTTGATGTTATAAATTAGTTAGTTTGGCGTAAAGTTCGACTATTTATATATGTACAATCATAATTCGGAAAATGTCAGGATGGTGCTGTTTGTTTAAGGCTTATTTAAACTACTAAGCTAGCGAACTCAAAGTTTATGGATTATCCTATCTCGTGTTTTTATTAAAGAAAAAATCTAGTGTCTGTCAGTCTGCTGATGTTTGTACTTAAGTGTTTGTCACTTTATATGTAAAATGTAGGAGATTATTTCACATTTCAACACAGATCGGTCATCTGAAAATATCAACTAGAGAACGCCTGGACAGCATGATTTATTCACTTGCAAAGCATAGTCGGATAAAAGTACGCTTGATTATGTTATATGACAATAAATTCATAAAATATGTTTTCAATCTATCATAAACTCAATACGCTATTACTGTGATAGCAGGGTATTTTTCCATCAGAACAAAGGTGTTTATTGAAGACAATATAGGATATTTATTCTGAGAGGCAGCTCTGTCCTGAAGGAGGTAGTCATGTCACCAAGCAGGTAGTTCTATTGTAAAAGGGGAACAAAAATGATATCGGCAACGAATATAAAAAAGCTGTCGGTGAAAAATACCTTTCGGATGTTGGTACAACGAGTATAATTATGAAGAAAGAAATCAACTTTTTGATAATATTAATTCTATATTAGCAGTTACCCCGGATACATCATTCACTTCACGAGTCGATCTTACTTTATTCTAAACTTGCACTTTCAAATACCGTCCATGAACAGGCTCAATCAAACCGAGCCTACATCATTTTCAATTTAGCCGTATTGGGCTTTCTTTAGGGATTCTGTTGTTCTCTATTGTATGGTCACATCAGTTTTTTTTGTGCCTTGTGGCGGCTGTAAAAAGTCTCCCCGTACATTTAATCAAAGATGTTATATTTTCGATCCTTGAAGATCGTTCAGCACGACATAATTGTTGTGAATACATGTTATGTTGTATTTTTTGTTTCTTCTATTTTGCCATTTTCAACTTGGGTGGTTCCAGTATTCCTATTTGAAAACTGTATAATCATCCTTAGGATATGATGTCTTTTTTTTAATTTGTCGTATCTGTGATATGCAGGCTTCATAACCACGGATCTTTCAAAATTCCATTTAATTTAGTTCCGTCCATTGTTTTCTCGTTTAGGGCACACCATTCTTTTACTTTGAGACCGTACGCCGCTTTCTTCGAATGGCACTACTGTGTCTCATTGAAGGTTTCATAATAACCGCCGTGTGAACCCATCTGTGGATGTTCTAAATTCAAAATTTCATCATTTTCGTGTTTAAATGTTCTGCTTAAGCCGGTGCTAGGGGCGTTGACAGTAAGTTGCAATTTCCAAAATCGTCTATGGACAGGCTCAATCTAACCGACCCTTCAACATTTTCAATTTTTCCGTGTTAGGCTTTCTTTAGGGATTCTGTTTTTCTCTATTTCAAGATGACTTACTGTAGTAAGAGGTACAAATGTGAACACTGTGTACAACCTGAAACTTCACATTTCAAATGTACACACAGAATAACTTAACAAGAACACAGTATGTATACATTGCTTTTAAACAATTTGGTAGCCTAAGCGTTGAAGCGTCACATAGTGACCGTTCACATGGGAGAATAGAAATATGAATTATAAGGCAGTTATGAAAAGAAATATTCATCAAACTGTTGGTGTACTCGTTTTTAAAGGTTTCTAAGAAGATTTTGCTGCCCAGGGAGTTTCCCTTTTAGCTAACATACTATTTCCTACATTGTTTCAAAATAGTCAGAAAGTAAGGTTTCTTTTTCCTCTAAACATATTGAATATCCAGTAATGCTTTGTGGTGCTAATAATTAAAGCATTGTGAAAAAGTAACGCAGAATTAAGCGATTCTGTGGCCGAAACGAGCACCATGGAAAGGAATTGAACCAATATCTTTAATGTACATCAAACTGAAAGAAGTGGATTAGCGCATACGGTTGCTGATACATTATACTTTAAACCTCATCAAAATATTTCCCTTACAATTTTTATTTTTCAAGTTTTAAGTTTCGTCGTATCTTAAATTAGAATGTCGTATATATTACATTATGGACTTTGATATTCTGTGTACCCGACACATTAGCAAAACTACTCGTGTCTTGATATACACGATGTAAATGCATCATCTGAAACAGACAAATAGCTAGTATGTTTATGGTATGTAAATTCTGTACAACAAGTTAAAACCTTAACAGGTGACAAAACGTTTCAATGTTGCACGATTATCAATAACACGACTTGTCCGAAGTGTAGGGGAACCATTTGTTGATAGGTCACGTTCAGGTGCGCCTCGTTTGGCAGGATAATTACCTACGTCATTTCAGTGACAGAGATTGGCGTAAAATCAACTTTTTAAAGTGTTGAAAGACATTAACGTTACTTTAATGACTTTTCCTCAGTAAAGGTGTACGTAAACGTCAAGCAAAATTGGCCAATTGCCAGCAGCTGCAACAGTACTCCACGTTACCTTCTACGAAACTAGGATGGGTATATGAAAAGGAGATAGACTAATGTTATAGCCAGCGGTGGAGGCCGCATACAATACGTAAATGAAACGTTAATGACTAACGAGATATATTTTATCTGAGACGTAATTAATACTGATTGGCCATTAATCCTGTTTTTGAATGTAAATAACATTTCACATTGTCTTGAAATTGATATAAGATATGCAGAAAAATTAGGATTTAGCAGTTCTGTATCCTTTTAGACTTTATTAGTATAGTTCTTTAACTACTTTGTGAAAAGAAATTAACTGTATTTAATTTTATTACTGAAAGATGCATCGTGGTATGTTCAAAGTCCAAGTTGTAACTTTTAATGTAATTGTCGAAACAATTACTCTGCTTTTTCGACAAAAAGAAGGTGAACAGCAATACTGGACTTAAACCTTACCGAGAAGATAAGCGTTTTATAACATATGGTCTTATGACTGTTACTTGACACACAATTGCTTAATTGCTTCTCTACACACAGCATCATCAATGCTAAATTACATTAAATAAAAACAATAATTCATATAATTTTGTTGTTTCCATAAACGACGCAAGAAAGAACAAGTCTCATAACACTAAGTTTTAGACCTCTTTGCCTTCAAAAGCTAATAAATTCTATAAACAACCAGCATTACTAGCATTAGACCGATATTGTCCTGCAAGAAAGATTTTGGAACCGATCAATAACAATGGCAATAGCATAATAAAGACTTTATTTACGCATTGTATCGAAAAGATATTTTTGTCCGTACCTTGATGTAGTTGAGATACAGCATCACTTGTTTTCCGATGTGAAAATGACAGCTGCCGGTAGGAGATGTACTGTTACTATCACAAGCTACAAGCAATGTTGTATTATGTAATTTATTTTGTTATAAAGGGATTAATAGCATTTATTGGCGACGCCGGTGAGCGGCGTAGTTTTTTATTGAATACTTCTTTTTTTTTAGCAAATGGTAGGAGCTGTTATTATTAGCAGTTAGTATCATGTCATGTTGTGTTAATTAGTTTTATTTTGATTTTTAAACTCAAGTAAACAAATATGTTGTTATATTGGTATTTTGATTTATGTAACTTTATGTGTTCTAGTGTTCAACACTTGATCTGCGGATCATAAATTTGGATACTGCTCGGGTTTCAGCCAGGATACGACCATGTTAGCTCATCACACTAGTACTTATGAGTTCAAGAAAGTTAGATGAAACAGTATGTGTGAACCTTGATCATGTTTGCAACTCTTTACCTTTTGATATGGAAGAATATCACGTTCTGAAATTCCTTTAGACTTAACTACTTTAACACCAATTTGTTTAAGAGGCAAAATGGACAATGTTAAAGGTACACATTACATTACCCAATCTGCTCAAAATATTGACTTTTTGTATACATTAAATGTGCTGATTAAATGTCGGATCATTTTATAGCTTATAAACCATATCATATATAATAAACAAAAATCTAAAAGTTATTGAAAAAGAACATTTAGAGATAGAAAAATATACTAGAAACTTGTCTTTAATGATTACAACAAATCCAGGGTTTTAATGCAAACGATACAAAAGTATATAATTATGTATATATATATTGGTAATGCTGTGAAAATGGTGTATAAAATCGTACCATGCTGTCAAAACATGTTATAACGAAACGTTAGCTATAATAAATTCAATAAAAAGATGTTAAATACAAAACATGGATTTATATAATGCCGAAATTGAAATACTTACCAAATGAAACTGATATATTGGAGACAAGCACAATCACGGCAGTAAACACAAGAAATGCTTCAGTGTAGTTTAGAACCCTATATTTTACAATAAATGACATAAGCAAGATTGTGCAATGTATATTTCTGCATGTTCTCATTGTATAACATGATTTGAGAAAGAGTCAAAATATCATCAATTTCAAATATAACTAAACAATTTGGAAGAATGATTCAAATTTCAAATATTTTGAGAAATCTGCATCTAACCC